TCTCGCCAGGACAAGCATATTCCCTTCAGACGTTCGTCGTCCTTCTTATCGCTGGCATCATTTTGCCGGAGTCCACGAGCGACCTCGGAGCAATGCAAAGAATCAATTTCCTTCCTTCAATCCAAGTTATAAAGTTATTCATATCATACCATAAAGTTCACATTCCATTCTCGTCAGTATATTCCTTCAGACGCCTGTCATCTTCGTAGTCGTCATTTTATCAGACCCCAATCAGCCTCGGAACAAATTTTTAATGGTTTCACTAGCTATTAGGCCTCGAGAATCCTCTTGAGAAAAATCCGATTTATTCCCCTCATATACAAAGAATCAATTTCCTTTCTTCGCCCCGTCCTGTCTATCATAAAACCGCATTCCATTCTCCGCTAGTCAGGTATATCCTCCTTCAACACCCCGTCATCCTTCTTGTCGCAATTTTATCGCACCCCCGATCAGATCCCGGAACAAATTCTCCTCAGGTGTCCGCCATCTTTGCACACGTCATTTTGTCGGACCCCGAACGACCCAGACACTTTCACCCCCTCCCCCTATCTTTTCGTCTAGCATTTCGACAACCAATCACGCCCCGGACAGCTTTAGGAGCATCCAATCATGCACGTGGACAACTATGGAAGCGTCCAATCACACGCCGGGCAACTATGGGAGAATCCAATCAGAACGCACCACTAATTACCTAATTATCTCCGGCTACGCCCTTCAGCCAATCAGAACGCTCCATTTCCAAGTGGAGGCCCTATCTTGACAGCTGGAGGCCACGTCCCTGGCGCCAGTGGGAAAGTAATGGGGGTTTGTTTTGACGCCCCATAGCAGCCCATACTACTTATGATATATCAGGTGTTATCATTTTGACAACTTAAACAAATTATTGCAAAATTTAAATGTGAATCTGTTAACTGTTCGCGTAATCACGATTTATTTAATTTCATAATAGAAAATAATTGTTCATATGAATATGTAGAACCGAACATACTCATTATTTTTGCAGCACAAGCATGTAGTCGAGGAAAAACGTTCTTGAGATATATATATGAATAAAATTGTACGATGTCAGTCATTGTATAAAAACGATTTTTAAGAGCAGTGTCACATTTTAAATCTATTAATTGTATATCTGCGAGAACAATATTAACATTAACAGTAAAAGGTGTCATAAAAATAAGTAAATCTTCTTCTAAAACATGCATTTCTCTAAACCGACAATCGAATTCATTATGTAATACTTGAAGTGAATTTATATTTATATATTCTTCATTTCTATTGCTTATCTTGAATGTGCATGGCAACAGATAATAAATTTGAAAAATGCAATAACTGTCGAGATTGAAATTGATTGATCCATAAATTAAGTTTCATTTGGAAATGCGGAACTTTATCCCAAGGTACTAAAAATATTAGATACGCTCTTGAGATGTGCACAACAGACGGACACTCGCGGGCGCTCGCGGGTGCCTAATTTCAGCATTTTGCCAACCTCTGCCTTAATATGTGCCACGTGATACTCTGACGCGGGGCGGTTGATTTATTTTCGCATTCGCCTTTTTTATTTTTATTTTTAAAATTTTTCACGGAAATTTTTTTTCGTAAATTGGAAAAAAATTTTTCTGGATTTCTATCACTTTTTTCCATTTAATGTCCAGCATTCTTGGCGCAAATGTCCTATCTTATGGCAATAACTACATTGCTTTTCCACCGTGTTTATGCGAGGTTGTCTTTCTGGCTTAGCCAGAGTGAACTTATTTGCGAAGCGACTAATCTTGCAATCGCGCCCATAGTGCCCGATTTTTCCGCATTTATCGCAACGCGGGCTTCGCGCTTGTGTCGTATTAAAATTATACGTGTTTCGGTTTTTGTATGTGGACACTCGTGTGGGTCCTCGCGTTTTCTCCTTTGCATTAGCCCTTGCGATCGCTTTTTGTAATGTTTTATAGCGTTGCGATCGTACAAGTAATTTAATGTCTTCATGCAATCCATTCTAATAATTATGCAACTTGTTCTTTTATGTTTTCCGAAATTGCGCGTTGCTGTTCGACAGTGTGGCTCTTGCTCTTTTCCATGGCTAGGTTATCTATTCGCCTGCCGAATTCTTGTGCGTTTTTATTCGGTTTTTGTTTGAGCGAGTTAAATTCAAATTGTAGATGAGCAGTGCTTCGTTTACTCACATATTCTTTCTCTAGTTCTCGCTTTAATTGCTCGAAATTTACTATGTTTCGCGTACGGAAGTTCATCATGGCTTTGCCCTTAAATTTGATGCAAAGGATGACCTCCAATAAGGATTGTTCATCCGCAGAGGATGTTTTTTATAGCGTTTGTGCTTGTATTTAGAAATTCGTACACGCGTCCTCGTGACGTGCCGTCGATCTCTGAGATCATGTTACGCGCGTCCTTCAACGTTAGAAATGCCAACACGTTTCCCGATTGGTTTCGTATGTCCTGATACGAACGTCCGTAAGTTAAATCCAACGAGTGGAGCAGAAAATCTTATGATATTCTTGTTCGCTCTCCCATAGGTAATTGTGTCTGTCGGCTTAGTTCGTTTACTGCCGGCTTAGTTACTTGTACGTGGAGATCGCGTATTTCGTCTATTAATTCACGGAGTATGCTATTATCTGGCGATGCGTCGATCGTGACGTGGCGGTTCGTCTCGGTCGGTTCTCTTGTGGACCGTTTCTATCTATTGAATGCCGTAGTTGCAAGATTTCATTATCAATTTCGTTTTGTTGATCGGCGGGCGAGTGGGCCATTTTGTTTATTAATGATTAATATACGCCAAGAGAATCAAATATGCTTCCGTCTTGTAAATTTGTTAGTCGGTA